TTGCAAATCCAAAAACATTGCAACTGTGCTGAAACGGATCTTTGCTGTGATATTAGCTCACCCTTTGGCCATGGGAGATCAGAAGGTGGCACCCCAGCCCTTTTTTTCCCTTTAATACTCCTTTTTATTTTCCCCTTTCTGGAAGCAGTCTGATGTCTTGAGAAAGTGCAATTCACACAAAGTGTTTGCAGTGGGTCCATTGCTCTTATTGTAATTGCAGGGGARTCATGTAAGAGCCACCACATGATTAAAATAAAGAAAAACATCTCCCACTAAAGAAGGTGTCGATAGTAGCTGTAATAAATATAATTTTTTACTACTGTTTTTATTGTTTTTAATAGCAAAATACATCAAGGCAAGAACTGAGGTTAAGGTCCTTTGTACTATAGACTGTAAAGAAAATGAAATCCTCTAAAATTGGGAAAAAATTAGGACAGTATAGGAAAACATTGCTCACAGTYACCAAGACTGGCACCAAATGAAAGCAGCCGATGGCAGACCCAACATAAATAAGAGCTGATACTCGTTCAGATGTGTCATGTGCCATGAGTCACTGTGTCCAGAGGGCCACCATGCTCACGTGCCACCCTACAGCTGCCCTGTTGAGCTTGTGTTGCACAGCTGCTCCTCCCTGCTGCTGGAGACAGCCCCATGCTGGATGGAGCCTGGCCACAAGCTGCTGCTGCTGCCCTTTCAGTAGAAAGCAGCACACACTTATTAACTCTGACATTTGCAATGTGTGAGACAGGCAAAATGGAAGAGGGGTAAAGTTTTATTAAGGGAGAATTGAGCAAGAGGCTGTTCTGTGACCTGTTCAGTGTCACCCAAGAAATAAGTCTCACAGCTGGGAGCTGAGCTAAGGTCTGGAGTCTCTTTCAATGCCTGAGTTACAGGATAATGTTTTCCCCTCCATTAGCCACCAAAAATCTGTAAAGTAAAAACAGAATTGAAGGCATTGAGTTGTCAGGTTCAGAAGTATCTGTTTTTCCATGGAAACCTCTTCCCAGCAACAGCCAAGCTTCTCATCGTGCGAGAGCTGTCAGGCAGCTGTTCTGTTCAAAATGCTGTGGCTGCAGCTGCCTTCTGGAGAAGTCTCATCCCACAGCCAGGCAGCATATAAACCCCATTCCCAGCAATTCAGCAGTAATTCTGCCTGCCTGGTAATTTTTCACTGTGGTCATTCCAGAATCATTGCCTTGTTTTCTCTTGTCTGGCTGTTAGTGGTGATGTATGAAGTAAGAAAGACAGCTTAATTTTCATAAGCTAACTTGTGCCTGGAATAACAGAGAGTGAGAAGAGTGCAGTTAATCATAACTGCAGGACCAGAACAGGTAATGATAGAGCTTTTGCTGTTAGTTGTGGTATTTTATTATAATAACTCTTAGGAAGAAGAGATCAGCAGCTCAGAATGCCAAATGGTTCAAATCTATTACGGCAGGTACCGTGTTCTCATCTGCTGGAAGAATAGCCCACATAACTCTTTCATGCTTGTCTTTTCCAAAAGGCCATACTGGGAAGGAACTCCACTCTATCCTGCCCAAAAAAACCTGAATTCAGTCTGATGTGTGGTCAGAGGTGAAGTGAACCTGGTGATAGTTCCTGCAGAACTGTGAGCACCTTSCAGGGAAAGGCACAAAGGGTGGCAGAGGGACAGGTTGGTGTGTGGTCAGAGAGCTGTTCCTTGTGCCTGCTTGACACCACACATCACTTTGGCCTGTGCCTCGTGCCTCTAAMTTTTTAATGCTCTTGAAAAAGTAAATAACTAAATTAAATAGCTGTCACAATGATTCTTTAACAAAAAATTGATTGAAGCTTGGAGTGAAAGCTTTCGAGTCAATTTTCAGTTGGCTGCAATTGGAAGGACAAAACTTAGGAAATTGTTTTTATTTGAACTTTGACATACGTTGAATAAGGTTCTCTATAGTGTATATATTACACATCTGTATTATGTGTTGCTGTGTTTTATATTATTTAACATGAGGATGGTTGTACGTATTTAGATGTAATTTTAATATCTTCCGATAAAAATACATAGAATATGTTTTCCAGAAAATACTTTCTATTTTCYTTTTTCTGTATTGATTCAGAATGAAAACGTTTTTGGAAACACTAGTATTTGCTATGCAGCTGAAGTTCTGGTTTCTGGATTGCTTGTACCTTAAGTTAAGATCACAGAGACAATATAAAAAGAAATAAAAAATATATTCCTCTTTGGCAGAGATAGCAACACTGTTCCAGCCTGGAGAAGATGGAAAGCATATCTCCATAATTTTCTCCAAGGTGGCTTGGGAGACAAGCCATCACATCTGCCTAATAGGCTTTTATGCACCAGTAAGAGTTACAACAGCCTGACAAGCTGCATAATGCTCTACCCTAGGACAGTACATGAACATGTGCACATTCCCAGGCCATTGCAAAAGCCAACCAAAGCGTGTTAGCTAAACATTTTACAGTGTATTTGTGACAAGCTAAAGGACTTATACATGCAGTTATTCCAGCTCAGTTGATGCACAGTAAGTCACATTATCTGATCCTTGTATTTCAGCCCTAAAGCTTACATGATGTTAATTTCTGCCTTCATCCGTGTCCCATATCAAACCTCAAAGAATACTAGTGAAAGTGAGATTTGTTCTGGTGTCTTCAAAAATAAAGGGGAAAAGTGGAAGGAAATTATACAGCTAAAGTAAATACATGCAAACATAATTTTCTGAACCTTTTTCAGTTTATCTTGGCATGAGAAATCATTACTGAGAAATAAGTATTTCAGGGGTAAGTTATTAGAACTGAGACTTTGGACTGTTATGTGGGAAAGGAAAACCATTAACAAGCATTAAGGTTTGTTCATTTTTTATTATCTATTGGTTTAAAGACTAAAGTCTGTAGCATGTTGGGAGGTTCATGGGGCTAATATAGTGAAAGCAGATTGGTGCTCTATGGTGAAGAAGTTCGGTACCTGCTTCTTGCAAATGGAATTCTAACATTTCTTTTGGTGTTATCAATATTATCCTGAGAAGGTTCTGTGAGTTGTGAAATGTGCTATTAGATTATGGGCAGGGTCACTATCTTCCTACCATTGTAGCCCAGCTGCACCTGCACTTTTTTTTGGGTTTTCTTTTTTCTTTTTCTCATCGTTTACTAGCCATGGTAGTTTCTTACCTTGATTTATTTTACTTCACCCCTAAGGGAGTGGCTGTAAACAGGCAAACTTCCAGCATGTAGTCAACAAGCATTCATTTAAATTGTGTGCCCTTCAGCCTCTTTTTCCCTTAGACTGCTTGCAACTAGTTGAGATCCCTTTGGTATTTCATCCCAGTATTTGGCTAGTGATGCCTCATGTGCTCTCTATGTGTCTCATAGGTTGAGAGATGCCATAGTTTATCTGCATGCGCAGAGTTGCTTAGGATATGTTTGCCGCTAAAATTCTGTTACTATTGCCAGTTTTCASTAGCACCAATGGGTCTTTTATATGATCCTTTTACTCTCCGCCAGATTTTTCCACCTTCTTAAAAAATGATTTGTGGAGTCTAATGTGAAAAATTACATGTATTGTGTAATAAACGTGTCATGGAATAGGAGAGACATCTTTGGAAAATAGAGTTTGATGAGGAGTGGCATGTTGTCATTAGGATAGAGCAGGATGATCCTGGAGTGGTGTGGACTTGGTAATCTCTTAGAATTATTTTTAGATTGATTTCCATTCACTCCTTGAATKCTTTCATAGTGTTCTGGTTTATTTTTTTTCGAGATATGTTGGAGTTACTGACATTCCACTGAATTACAGATACCGCAGGAGAGAATTGCAATCACCTTTCAAGCCAATTATAAAATTGAATTAATCATAGCTGTCTTTATGTCTTGTTCTCAGCCSAACCTTGTCTTGGGCCATACTGACATTTTAGTAATACAGCTGTGGTTCTATGTAAGGAACATATAATGATCTTTTCAGGCTTTCAGTGCACTGCAGTGACCATACACACAATTTTTTGAGCATAGCTGGGATTTTGAAGTGAGTTTTCAAAGCATGATGCTTAATTGCTTTCTCAAAAGGTTGCAAAGTAATTTCCAGTACCAGTCTCAGTGCCCCCACTGAGCATGTCCCTTTTTCAAAGCACCATTCCTTTTTCTTTCTCTGACTAGATCCAAATGCAGTTCTCCCCTTCCCTCCATCCTCAGTTACTGGAGCATCATTTCAATCACTTCTCTTATTTACATTTTACACAGCACATTTTAGGATACATAATTAAGTCCTTATCTATACAAGCATTCATTTTTCAGTTGATTTTTAAGCAATGCAAACCTTCTAGACACATTTGATTGAAAATACATTTTATTCTAGCTGAAGCCAGCTGCTAATCAATGTAAGATAAACTAAAATAAAACTGAAGTCATAATTTCTATGCATCATTCTACAAAGGCTTACCTAAATGACTTTTAAATTACTCTCTTAAATAAAAGTGGTGCAACTTTCTTGTGTAGGTAAACTCTTCAAATTCAGTATTTGTCTGAGCAAAAGGGGTTTCCTTTGTGACTGAGAAAAAAAATCATTGAAACTAGTGGGGAGAGCATGGGAAGGGAATAATTTGTTATACTGAGCCTTTTTCTTCAATTATATTTTCTCCAGCAGAGTATGAACAGATCTTTATATTAGATGATAATTTTGTCAACACTTAATTCTCACTAGGAAGATTCTCCATCATTGTATTCCAAAATCAAGCAGCATTCACATTTGTCGGGGTGATATATTTCTGTCAGCATGACAAAGGTTCTCACAGTGTTTAATTACTCTGACTAGCCAGGGAAGAAGGAAAGAAATGAGCCATGCTGAATTTACTGTGCTGGGCTCACTCTCTGTTACATAAGCAGATTTCTTCCAAAGGCATGGAGGGAAGGCAGCCCCCAAATCCCTGCCTTCTCTTTGCACTGGTTGTCCCTCTCCAGATTTCTTGTGTGTTTTGCACTGATTGACTGTATCATCTTCTTGCAATTTTCTTGTTTTCCAGGGCAGCAAGTTCTTGGCTTAGTGGAGAACCAGAGTGATTGGTATTTGGGCAACCTTTGGAAGAACCATCGGCCCTGGCCAGCGCTTGGGAGGGGCTACAACACAGGTAGGATCTGAGGGCTCTCTTTAATTAACACTTGCACTGAGTGTGCAATCAGTCTCCTGGTACAGACAGTATGAGATGTGGTAATTTGCACCTCCCTTCCTAAGCTACAGCTAAATTTACCTTTAAAATGGTAAGAATGGTACAACGTCATGCATTTTGGGGTGTCTGGTCTTCTCCATATGGTGTTAGAAAAGACTGTGCGACATCCTTTGGCGAAGAACAGAGCTTTTCAGCAATCTGGCAGATCCTCAACGCATCTACAAGATTGCTGTCCGTGATAACTCATATATAGGCCCAGCAAGAGGGAATGAGTAGGAACTGAGGCTCTTTTTTTTTTGTAGAGAAGTAAATGGTATCACAAAATGTTAGCCCCATAGAGATATAACTCCTTCCAGACAGCAACAGGATCATAATTGTGCTAATAAAATGCAATCTACTGGCCATCAATGTCTGCTGCCATGAGAAAGGAATAAAGGCACTAGATCAGAGAATTTATTAGGTTACAAGAGACAGGTCTTCTCACTGATTTGTGTTTGGTATGTGAGAAAACATACCAGGTGCATTAAGAACACACACGTACATCTTAATCTTTTCAATGCTAGGCTTTACATGCTGATGCAGTGAGTTAAGTTCCCTCTCTCTTTGTAATAAAAGGACAGAACAGATGGTGAAGCCTCCATTTGGAACAGATGAGTCCATTTAAATATCCCTGCACTATCAGGAAATTATTCACCATAATAGTATTTTGCTTCACGGAAATATATTGCATTGAATTAAAAAGGCGAACTAGAAAAAGGAGTGAACAAGTTGTGGTTGGGTCATCTGTTATTTCTATTTTTCTATGCATATTGGTGGGAATCTCACTAATTTTTGTGAATTTGTATTTTAACCTCTGCAGAGCATTTCTGTTGTCTGGAAATGTTCAAAAGAATGTCTTAACAGAACACAGATTGATATGGATACAAGATTTTGGCAGAATAGGATTGTTTCCTGACTCTTCTTTGCCAGAATTGCAAATAGAAAGGCTAGGTCTGCCCACTCCTGTTCCCCAACTCCACAAAGCATGAGACAGAGATAAGTTTTGTGGATTTTTCCTGAAAACTGAAAGCTTATGTTATACCCAACTCAATTGTTGATGTCAGTTCAGTTCACTGTTGCACCAGAAAGCAGTACCTGTTATTCTACTCAGAGATGACCACCTTCTATAGCTACCTTCTTTCTGCTGTATTTTTGCTTTTTCCTTTCTGCCATTTTAACACTGGCAGAGAGAAATATGGCACACCCACGTAACATCAGAATAATGCAGTAATGTAAGATGGGTAGTATAAAACATATATTTGTATCTAAAATGTTAATGTTTGAAAAAAGTAAGGCTTTAATTTATGTTAACTTACTGTTCAAATGATTTATAGGAATATCAAATGTCAGTATATTCTATAAATCTTCCACTGAAAGCAAAAATAATTGAATATCTGCAGTCCTTCACATTCATTACATGTGTTAATTCTTGTATTAATCCATACCTAGCAGGCCATGCATAATCCCATAATCTTGCCCATGATTTTACTTTCCTGACAATTTCTTTCTTCACACAACTCACCTTGTAGTTAGAAAAACTTTTTTTTTAGAAAGAAAACCAGAAGGTGGATAATGTATGGAAGATTGACAAGTGATCATAAGAAATGAAATGTGTTTTCAAGTATGTGGAACAAGAGGTCACTGAGTGAAACAGTGCAACCTCTGAGAAGTAAGAAACGAGGTTATTGACAGAATCAGCACCCTTTCATATGATTTTCTGGATTGAATTTAATTGTTTGCCTCAGTAATTTAGCAGAGGCTGGAAGTATATATTTCTCAAGGAGGATAAAACAGGAGCTTGTTTGATATCTTCAGTAAATTAAAATAATTTACACTGAATGCAACAGTGTGGCTAAGGAGGATTCAGAAAACTAAAAAGAGGTGGGGCACAGAAAAGAAAGACACTATCTCTAAGCAAAACTCTCATGAAAGAGAGTGGTCCAGAAGGGGGAAGGCATAGAAATTCAGGTGCCTAGATCTGCACTTAGGAACTGTGAAAGGGCCCCCAAACCCCTGAAACTTGAGTGAGCTAAACAGAGCTGGATCAGGGGGAGGCAGGCTCTCAGACAGGTTTTGCTTTTGCTCTTGGGAGAGTGTTTACTACAGACCTAGGATACAATTCCAAGAGAAGAAATTCTTATGCGAGCCTCTTCAGCCAGACCTAACCCTGGTAGATTTGATTCAGAAGCACCCCTCAAAGTCAAAATTGTTCTGCTGCTTCCTCACTGTTTCTGAAGGAAAGCTCTTATCTTTCTCTATCTGAGCCTCTCTGGACAGCATAGGTTGGAGGAGTCCCGGAAGGCACATGTATTAAAGGCAAAGATGTGTTTGTTCCTTCTCTGCAGGTTCTTTAAACCCAGTAAGCGTTTGCACTCCCCTATTCCTGTGTGCCCAGGCCAGATCTCCTGACAGCTAGTACAGATTTTCAAGGAGAGATTTTATATGGTTGTTTTTCATTCTTCTTCATTTACACAGGCAGATAATCCAAGTCATACTTTAGTCCGTGATAATATAATTGTAGGAAAACCAGACCAAGCTTGAAGTCATTCAGTGAAGATTTAATTAGTGTTTAAAATGGTCTTAGAACCATTCTTTATTTGTGATAACTTTCTCTTCCTCAAGAATTTTAAACACAATTCCTTCTGTACCACAAAGGTTTCCAAGTTTTTTTCTGTGCTTCACTGGCAAACATTCAGGAAGCTGCTTAAGCAATACCCTTTTTATGTATCATCCCCTCCATGTTGTTTGTCTGCACTGAGTTTAACTCTTACAGATTCCTCATGCACAAGTAAAACCACACTTTTCTTGCCATGCAACCTATATATCATTCACTGACTAAACTGCTTTTGAAAGTGTTGCTACACTATGCTTTTTCCTTTTACAGATGTTAAACTGACAGCTCYAGAGTTGCACTGTATGGTTTAATGTTCATTTCGGGACTAACAGTCATCTTAGTCCTCAGAATAGTATCTTGTAAAAGGAATTCCAAACATAAAAGCTTTTAGTACTTTGTCTGCCTTATACTTTCCATCATGGTGGAGAATAACTTTTAAAAGCAGTCTCTGGTGACTGTTAGGACTTCTGGCCACTTCTTCAGCAGGTGTGAATCACCCCTGGCTTCTCTGACTTTACTGCAGCACAGCTTCCATCAGCTGAGAGTAGACCCCATGCCTGCCAAATGGAGCTTTAGTATGAATGTGAAATTTGGGTGCCAGGAGGACATTTCTAAAAACTTTGGCCCAGGGGATTTCAGACTTCTAACTACAGAAGCCCATCCTGGGGATTTGAGGTTCATCTGAAATGCAGTGCCTCAGTGCAACCACCAGATACCGTAAGGAAGTGTCTCAACAGCTTGAGCTGAGAATTCATACTCCCACACTGGGAAATGTGACATTACAAGATCTGAGGATTGGGAACAGAAGGGAATGGCTAGCACCTAACAATTACTAGGCTACATGTGTAATGTGCCTTATTGCTCCTATGTTTGTAATGTCTGGAAGAGTGCTAGAATGAGTCTCACTCCTTTATTGTTTCCCTGAAGAAAAGGACTTATGGAAGTTGAAGTGGAGATTGAAAGCATCTCTTACATAATTTTTGCATAATATTTAGCAAACTTGAATGACAAAAGAGAAGCACAGAGCAGACTGTTTACATGAAATCAGTCTGGATTAGATCTTGTGCTTCTTCATGATACTGTGCATCTTCCATGCAGAAAACAAATGACTGGTAAAGCAGTGTGAAATGGGCCTTTTCTAGTGTCTTGGTTTGAAAGACAGGTGTTTGCCAATGAAGGCAGGGACCCCCCTTGGAGTGGTGGATAAGACCCCCCTTCCCTTGGAATTATTATAGCTTTGAAAAATCACAGGCTTTCAGGCAAGAATATGGGTAAAAGGGAATAACAGATTTTACTAATATGYATAACAAGGTGAAACAAGTAACAATAACAATAGCAACAACCAGCTCAGTCCCAAACTCAGTGACAGCCTCACACAGAGACACAGCCTCCCCTTTGGTGCAGTTACAGTCCCAGCCGGCAGGGGCGCTGTTGGCTCCCGGCCGGGCAGGGTGGGTGCAGTGATTCTCCGGTGGCTGCAGGGGGCGCTGTGGCGCGGGTCCCGGCTGGCTCAGATCTCCCGCATCGACAATGATTGACAAAAAGAATGGCAGAGGTGGGTGGCGAAAAGTTTCTCTGCAAAACTCACAGCGGAAACGCCGATCTCGGTGCTCCTCTGGACAGCAAGAAACCCAGGACGGCAAAGAGACGAGCAGAAATCCCACGGCTATGAGACGGGATGGAGCAGAGCTCACTCCTGAAGCTGGAATCACAGAGGTTCCCGGCAAGGCACAGGAGAGAAAACCACTGTGCAGCAAGCAGGAACCCAATGAGCAGAGATGGTGGTCTCTGCAGAAAAAGGGCAGGCCAGCTCTCTCCGGAGCAGCCAGCGGGCAGACTTCCTTCTCTCAGCGAAGCCGCCAAGCAAGTGAAATCACCCCCCCCACCACCACACAAAAACACTCTCTCCCAGCGCTTGGCAAGACCATTAAGGTGGGGCATAGGTATCATTGTCTTCGTTAATCACCCAGCCATCAAGAGGATGACCTGGCAATTAGTATATCCCAGCAACAAATGGGAAAGAAAAAGTTCCCAAAGAAGGGGAACAAAAGGGGGAAAATCTTAACCCACAACAGGTAGTCACTGCACTGGCTGGGGTCCTGCTCAAGAAGCCTGGAAACAGCTCTCAGCCAAGCTCCACAGGCATTACGGTAATTCTTCTGCTCACGACATTATGGTAATTCTACCCATGCATATTGGCTGGGTGAGAGAGGAGGATTTTGTCAAACTGTCTGTGAATGAGGAGGTCAGAAAATGCGCAGTTTATACAACCGTCTACATACCATGGCCTGACCAAGGTTAGCAATGC